GAGGGTATATCGACCCAGCACAGCAGAATCAAGGAGTCCATCCCCTGATTCCACCTGCGTCTCTGGGCAAGTATCTGTGACTTTTGGTAGGCGATTATTTCCCCTATCCGCCACCCGGGGACACCCTACGTAGCCTCGTCACTAATCGTCACTGGGGATCCTTCAGTGAGAGAGAACTCAGTGAAGGAGATCCGTAGACTCGTTTATAATACGCTTTGTATATTCACGCTTTGGATCGAAAACATTGGAATCAAGTCCGTCTGAGGGATGCGCCAAACATCTGACTTTAATTCAAAATCGTAGAGGCGTTTAAGTGCGTTTAGGGCCTATACAATGACTCGGGACGGCCAGCCGATGCCCGAGTCAGGGCTTACATCTTCCCACACGAAACTAATGACAACTAACTGACCTTTTGGCTGGCATGGACGAGTGCCGATCCGGAGCTCGATCCCCGGACCACACGTTTATGATACATAGTGCACCCCTTACAGCTGCACCATGTCAAGTAACAGATTAGAAGTAACATTCAGTTAACTTCATATGAGATGATTTCAGTGTGTTTTTAAATGGACAAGGAATGGAGTGTCAACATATGCACTTCCAAAAGAAGCAGCTAGCAAAAGGCATGAATTATGTGCTCGAATTGATTGCACGCCGATTTAATGTGAACCCTATGAAGTGAGTGTTTCTTACTTTATCCGGTAACTTCAACAATATCNTAATCCATCAGATATAGATTATGTGACATGGATGGTCGTAAAATTACGGAGCCGTCTCAGTTGATGTCGAGAGGTGCTTACGTCCTAGTGGCTGCAGGGCAGTCGTTCCGTGACACTTGGTATTTCCTGCCTGACAACGCCATTGATACCAGGTAATACCACTGAGCACTAGCGGAATGTTTTGTTTACAGATCGTTCTCGACAGTTGTTCTCACCACGAACCTATCGATAAGCTTTTTAGATTTTGAACTTACCGGAATCATCGATGTCTTTACTGGCAGATGATTGAAAGCAGAATGTAATGGGGGAAAATGGGAACGTCGTGTCCGTCGAAATTAGGTCACCCCGCCCGCTTTGCGCGTGGCGCAGCCCACTGCAATCTGTAGATGACATTACAGTACTGCTAGATGTCAGTGGGGCGAATGATTTGCATTAGTCCGCGTTATCTTCTCTTGAAGCTGACTGCTGTGGACCGAGCGCAGTTCGTATGTCCCGCTGACAACTGCGACGTTTGTTAAGGATCGCGGGCTGACACGCCGCGTACTACGGCTGCAGCGTGACCTATTTAGTTTCGACGGTCCCGTGGAATGAACCGCACCCGGTAAAATGGCGAGGAAAGAACCAGGTCTGAGTTTGTGCTTTATCACAGGCACATAACCAAATCTGGAGCCCACACATAAAAAAGTTCCAAGTGAAAATAGAGAAG